TCTAGTATGCTTATTTATGGCTCATTCTCTCTTTCTTACTATCTATATTCGATCATTATTTCCTATGTGCTCTAAAAAGGACACGTAATAGAATTTATATTTATAATTTAGCTTCACAATCGATGATTTATAATTGATTTGTTCGTCAAAGTGAAGAACAAATAACAAAGAATTTAAGGATAAGAGAAATAAATGACGAAGAAAAATCCAACGGAGTAGTATAAAATATTCGAAAAAAAAGAAAATTATATTTGGTCTAATTCTTTTTTCTTTTATCTCCATAGTCTATAGATAACCTTGGGAAGAACATATTTATTCAAGGGAGTTCTATTGACATTGCAATACAAATCTAGAAATAACAAATCTATTCGATTGATTAATAACTGGTATTACTGGTTGAAATATGCAACGGGATTCAACATTAGATAGTAGTTCAAGGAATTTTTATTTTTAACCTAATTATATAAAAGTCTAGGTTAAAATAAATCAAAATTCATTCACAAATTATTGATTTAATCGAAGAAAAAATCTATTACTCTCTAGTTATGTCATTTATATAGAATATAATGCGATAGAAACTGTCTCCTATTCTATCCAGATAATAGATTATAATTATAATTTGATATATATATAATCGAAATACTTAACATATTATATATATATAAAATCTAATAGATGAGATATATTTTCTATTGATTAGGAGATTTCGATATGAAGATTTCTTTCTCTCGGATTTAATTTTAAAAATCATATATTATTTAGAGTTTATTTTTTCCTTATATTATTTGTTAAAGGTTCGCTGATTAATAACCAATCTAAATAATTTAGGTGCCATTTTAAAATATGAATGAGTACATTTATATTTATATCTATGTCGGAAATATAATCGGAGTTCTATACTTAACATGAAATATATTTTCCGATGTTATTTAATAAGATTGTTGATAAGTTAGCGTCTATGTTTATTTCATAGAATGTTTGAAATATAAATAAAAGATTAAAATAAACTATAGATACGTGTATTTGAAGGTAATTATTAATTTATAAGTATAGTTCATGCCTAAGAATTATGTTTAGTTTTATTTTAAAGTGACTAAGGTTATTTAAAAGAAAAGGATTATCATAAAGATAATAATCGATTTATTTAATAGAGTTATCGGAAAATATTGATCAGAACATAGTTGAGATATACGTAGGCTTAAATCGTTTTCACTTTTTATTTTATTTATAAGAGTTTATTAAATTCTTAGTGTTTTTTTATTATATATTTATATATAAAAACGAGAATTGAAAAGAAATAATTCTATAAACTTTTATTGACAGTCCGTTCTTTGATATACTCATTGAATATCATCAATATGGTATATGACCTTTATTTAAATGTCAAACAACAATCAATATCGTTTAATATTGATCATCTTATTTTTATACTTACAATTACAACTATTGATATATGATCAAAAGGAGCACGAAAATCGAATATATTTTATTTAAATCATTTTTTAAGAATATGACACTAGTCGGAATTCGTTCGACAGATCGATCAACCTACTAAACAATCATCAACATTACCATATTAATCTCGACTTTTATTATTCTTATNAAACCTATTTTTCGTTTTTCTTAAAATTCATTTTTTTCGAGTATACTGTTTCCGCAGGCAAGCGTTAATCAATATATTACCGTTATTGGCTTCTACTTTTATTAATAATACTTTTTAAATAAAAGATAAACAGTTTTTATGAGAATTGTTTATATGACGTTGTTTTTTTCAATTATTAATCTTCGAACAAAAAACGTTATCTTTATTATCCTTTTATAAGATTGAGAATTTTATTTTAGATAAACAATATCAAACAATTCGAAATCGCTTAGATGTTCAATATGTAGTTTTCATCATAAACAGATTATTAATTATTATAATTCATATACTCAAACACAATGATAAAAAATATAGTTTATTTATTTCATCTTATATATCGTTGATCTATTTCAAGTTATATATTCATTTGAATAATTTATGAAAAATGAAAAAAATTCTCGTTATGAATCAACATTAAAAATACTTTATACAGTTGAAAAATAGAAACCAAACAAAATAAAAGAGGTTTTTATTAGATTTATTCATTGAACAATATATTAGATAATGACATCGATATTCACATTATGTTTTATTCCTCAATCAATTTTTTTCTCGTCCTATTCAAACATAGTAACATTCATTCAACGGATTCATTGACCCTTTTATCAAACAAAACTTAGAAAATTTCCGGAGAACTTCTCAACATAAAATATATTCACTTTTAGTTTATGGATTATCTATTCTTATCAATCTATAAAAATTTTTCAATCAACATAACTCATATTATCATCATCATCATCATTTTTATTCTACAGTTTTTAGCCATCAATGTTGATGTGCACAACGATGCCCCTTTTTATTTTATTACAAAATGTTGACAAAGTACTTTAGATAATGGAACAGTAGTTGAGAGTGTTGAAGGTGCCGTAGGGACTCATTGTGAAATGCGATATAGGTGCCGAACAGGTGCTAGGTGTCTACATTTTCCCCTTTGATTTTAACAAATAGATCAACTAATATAAGAGTATAAAGATGAACGAATGATTTTCATTGAATAAAATATCATTTTTTATTGTTATGTTAAATGTGAATGAAAGATCTCTTTATATCCAACCTATAGAATCTCGAAATCAAATTCTCTCCTAATCTTCATTTCTAGTAAATCCATTCGATTATTTCGATTATCATTATTATAAATAATTTCTTTTTTTTTTCACTGTGTCCTCGAAAAAGATGAAGTCAATTGTTTTGTTCTTATAAAGTTGATATGATCTCATAATTTACAATAGTCCTTTTTAAAATATCGTTGCTTAACTTACTGAACATGATAATAGATTTGTACAAAAGCTGATTCTAATGATAGCAAATAGAGCCATTACATTCAAACCAAGTATATTATTGAATTCTGAACTTTTTGTTTTTTTGTTTCTCTTATATTCTTCATATTTAAACTAAGGACAAAACAAATTTTGTTTCAATCTTATATTTGATTTATGTCAATGACCTTGCAGGTATTTCTCATCGTCTTGTTTTTCCTATAACACAAACTCTAATGTCCTCCTTCTCAGACATAAACAGAAAGGTTGGTTTAAGTGAAACGAAAAATCTACAAAGGCAACATCCAACTATATGTAGTTTTTTCAACAAGCATATTTAAAAAAAATCTGATGAGGACTTGTTATCTATATGAATGTTTGATTTTAATCTCGAATTTCGTTAGATACGTCAAAACTCACTAAAATTTCTTATGATTTTGCTCATGTTAATGTGTGAATATCTGCATGGTATTGTTGATGAATAGATCTAAAGTATTCCTATCGAAATATATTTGACACATTTTTCCAAGATAATTATTTTTAAAAGGATTTCATCATCCCTTATTTTCCTTCATACGGGTTTCTTCTTTTTTTAAACACGTCTAGCGCCAAAAAAATTTTCAAGTAGAGGATAACTATCGTTTGGAAAAACAAATAATCCAACCATAAAAGCTAAACTCTATTCTTATTTTAGTAAAATATTCTGATTGATTATTTATAGATCAATGTCAACCGAAAACAAAATGATAATAAATAGAAAGAAAAATCTATTATTAAAATTGTTAATTTACCTGTATGAATAGCATTAGAAAGTGAAAAATAAAACTAGAGAATGAGAAAGACAACAGCCATGATTATTTTCTCATACTATCTCTATATTGTGTATTTGAGTTACTAAAAAACTTCCTCTTCTTATGCGTGTTTAGAAGATTGATAGTTTTTATTTGATGATTATACAGCATATTAGTAATTATGAGTATTTTTATCTCTCAAAACAACACTTAGACATCTAATACATCTCAACTTAATTCATTTCTTCTCATGCATTAGTTTTAATTTATCTATTTATTTTAAGCAAAATACATAACAAAAAAAGTTATATTTTATTAGTTTGATTACTTCAATAATTAACTACGTTAACATTTCTATAGACAATTGGATTGACTGGAAAAAAAACAACGTCATATAAACAATTCTCATAAAAACTGTTTATCTTTTATTTAAAAAGTATTATTAATAAAAGTAGAAGCCAATAACGGTAATATATTGATTAACGCTTGCCTGCGGAAACAGTATACTCGAAAAAAATGAATTTTAAGAAAAACGAAAAATAGGTTTTTAAAAACCTTATTTTTCTAAATATGGAGGTTCAGCAAAAGCTGTGTGATATCCTTAAAGCTCATCATAAAATCAATCGACCTTAATGGATTCGAAAGCAGACACTTTTATCTATCTAACGAACTATAAATCACAAAATTTTTATAATTTGACAAAAATTGACTTTGTCTCAGGGGCCTCCCTTTAATGCGTTATAAGTGCGAGATCAACTAATCAGAGATGGGCAGCTTCGATCTTTCCTCGCTCCAGCTCCAGACACTCGTTCGGTCGCTCCGCTCCAATAGAAGTAAAAAGTCATTATTTCATTAGAATACTGGGATTTTTTGGCTCCTTTGCAGATCACTTTTTGTATTCATTAATAACACTCAGTTTTCGTAGTAATAGATGCAAATGGAAGAGAAAAAAGCACAGCTCTTAATATTTGTCTGACATTTTCTCGCTCCTGGCCATCTCTAGCTCCAGACATCCACTCAGTCGCTCCACTCTGACTCCACTCCAACGGAAAAATTTATATTAACGCTTCGCTCCCGGAGCGGAGCTAGCTCCGTGTAGCGGCCGCTCCGAAGTCGGAGCTGCCCATCTCTGCAACTGATAATAGATAATTAAACAATCAATTAATATCGATTTTTGAACGCATGTTTGTAAGAGTTAGTTCAGATCGTGTAACAGTTGACTTCAACATGCTGACTAATAATTATTGGTTTATTTGACTCGACTGAAAAACTAATTACTGTTAAAATCTTTTTATTATTTATTTTATTAAACTAGTCGAACGAAAACGAAGTTACAAGAGGAAAGTAAACATAAAAATCTTTTGAATGCACTAATGTTCGTTCAATGATTAATTCTTTCACGTTAGCACAATTGAGTCGTATTGCATTTCTTGTAAAGTTTTTTGTTACAATTGTTAATTTATCATAATTGACGGTTAATGTAGTTAGACGAGGTAGATGTGTTTTTGTATCATTAAGAAACTGCTCATAATAATCAATATGCGATCTTCCAAGACAAAGCGAAATAAGATAAGGATATTCAACAATTGAGTGCAATTGATTATCGTTAGAGTTGATATTGTCTGATATTTGTGACTGTGATTTAGAATTAATAACATATAATTCTTTAATCAATGGAAAAAACTGAGCTATTCGAAGAAAAAATTCATGTTTGAATGGAACTACATCATAGACCCCTAAATTTGTAACATGACTAAAAACAATAGATGGAAATACGTTGCCAATATATCTAAGACTATCAAACACAAATGGTAATGAAAAAACATGACATCTTACACGATTACAGTAACAGCTTAGAATACAAGCCACTTGCTGATATCCAATATTAGTAAAAGTTTGTTGAATATCATCACTTGATAAATAAGGAACTAAATGATGTAGTTGAATATCAGAACTAATATAAAATATAAATTTATAAAGTCGTGGCATATGAATAAGTATTTGATTATTAATCTGTATACCATCGATAAATTTAATTCGATTTTGAATCGTAATATACAAAGTTAATTCTTCAAGATTTGACATACGACGAAGAAGAGGTAAAATTTTACTATCATATTGTTCTGTTACACAAACATATTTTAATGAAAAACATTTTAAATTAGGTAGATCATTCTAGAAAATAGAAATCAATATTTGTAAATATATTTTATTATCGATTATAAAACAAGAAAAATTTCAGAAGAATAACTGATCGAAAAATTACATTTCTATGTATTTTATTTTGAAATATTAGTTCAACTCAATGATATTGTGACAATACGATCTGAAAGGAATGTTGAAGTGTATAAGGATCGATATTTGCACCCAGCCCCCCCCCCCCCCCCCCCCCTCCCCCCCACCCCCCCCCCCCACCACGCGCCGCAGCACAGAGACACGGCCGGAGGCCAG